TGAGGCATGGAGAGGTAAAATAACTTTTCCAAGTTTATACTACTAATATATAGCTATGCTGGATTCAAATATAGAGAATCCAGCAGGAAGCCTATGCTGGTACTATCTACAATTTTGTGCCAAATCTAAGACATCAAACCACTGGAAACTAAACTACCCAGGCAAACTAAAATGCCCAATGGAGTAGAAACTACTTTGTTACTCAGAGTGTAATGCAAATGCTTCATTCATCATATAAGTTTGATGAAATAAAAAAGTGTTTTTTTGACTCTGAATTGCATGCTCTGGGAAAAGTGCTGAAACCTAACGTAGATTTATTTTGACCTGTGCCACATAGAATCTTTCCTTGGTAATTTGAAATGTATATGACAGTTTGTTTTAACCATGAACCACAAGTATGTCTCTATGTGTTTTAAAATAGAATAAGAATCCCAAATGGGTTAAAGACAAACTTATATTGTACCTAAATAATCTGCATCTCCCCCCAAATTTTAGCTGCATGACTGGCTGTAAGAAGATCAGTGAGAAAGCTCTTCCTGCTAAGGGTGCTTGTCCAAGGAAGTGAGGGGGGAGGGCTACAGCATGGAAGCTGTAACAAGTAAGGTTGTAGGATCAGGAGAAGATGCAGAAATCCCGAGAGTGGAACTGGAATATGACAAAAGGTCATAAAGAAACTCACAATTGTAAGAAGAGTCAATGAAACTCAGCGTTGCCAAAGACTCTGCACATAAAGATGCAAGGAATGTTATCAAGAAATGATGATGCAGGGTTTCTGACCACTGGATGTGGAACGTACATCACTGCCAGGCTTCTAGAACTGCTTAGTGTTTGTATGCCAACCTAACTTCCTCAGGGTACTCAGTCTCTATAGGAGCCAGAGCATGACAACAGTGGAAATTAGTGAAGCATTTCAGATGTTTCGCCATTCTAAATACTATAGATGAATACTGAGATTTTTATAGAGTTAGAAGGAGTGATTCTGTTTTGATTGTAAACCAACCAGGTAATTAATTCCTTCAGATTTATTATACATACAAATTGTAATCTTTCCTATGATATTATTGTACTCTGATTTTTCGAGAACTATATTTTTGTGATATCCAAAGATCAGATATTAAATCTACTTTGAGGCATCTCATAGGGTAGTTCCATTAATAGGATATATAGTAAATAAGTCTGAAGAAACTTTATACCTTTATCTACCTACCTATACTGTTAAAAATAGATGCTTTAAACATCTACCTATATTTTCACCATGGGCATTTATTAAACAAACATTCAAATATTGCATATTATTTAAGATTAGTTTCAGCCAGTGCCCCCAAATGATAAGAAGTTACTTGTCCTAAGTGTTCTTTTCATAGTGGCATGAATTGCAGTCATAGATTGTATTGCCATAAGATACAGATACACAATCAAAATGTTACGCCTTTGTTTTCAGACCTGATATGACTTTTCTCGTGAGCAACACCATCTCCAGTTTAAAATTTTGTTACGTCTAAAAATTTAAGTAGTTTGTGAGGATGTATATCACGATATTTGGGATATTGTTCAGTCTTTCACATCCCTCCCTGGGCTTGTATTTAAGATAGAAGGGGCTCATGTGACCTTGTAGAGTTGGGAGGAAAGGGGCTTTCTAGAACACTGGTGATGCTGCCTTGTGGGGTGACTGCCATCTGCTCAGGTATATCGAGTCGAGTTGCTTTCTTGAGCTTACTTGTTACATATTGTTAACACTTTCAGCTAAATAAACATGTTACCTATTCTTCTCAGCTCAGCCAGGCCCTTCCTCTGTCAACCATGCTGCTCCAGCCTCTTCATTCTCCTGAGGCTGCAGGCATTGGAGTGGCCACCTGGTACAGGTGTTTTCTCAAGTACCCAAAAGCACTGAGAAAAGATTCCTTAGCCTTCCCTGTGTTTAGCTCCATCCTTCAATGAATCACCTTGCATGCCCTGAGATGAACTGATCCTTTCTCTCATTACCATCTTAACATGCTTCCCCATAAAACCAGCCAGCAATACTGCCCTTATGTCATATTTTTCTCAATTGACCATGGGGCATTAAGCCTCGTGACTTAGCTGTTGTGGAAAGCACCATTTGTGCTGCCATCTTCGCACATCAAGCTTTCATCATCACAGAAATATAAGAGCAATTTCATGATTTCATTCACCACACCTATCCCTTAATACTAAATGGCAGCTAAAGGTATTTAGGAAAATATTTTTCTTAACCACTCCTTTCAGGTTACTGCCTTGATGTTGAAAAGTAACCCTGTCTTTATTTTGTTTCCATTGTTGTCTCACAAAAATTTTGCTCACCAATCCATCAACATTGCTCTTGTCCACATAAACAACAAAATTTAGGTCGTGAATTCCAATGGTCTGTTCTCAGTCCTGATATATATATATATATTTTTCGGCAACACTTGACCCAGTTGAAACACTTCCTTCATGTGATGTCAGGACACCTCTCTTCTTGTTCCACTCCTGCACTGACCCCTTTTGTTTTTTTTCAGTTCTTCTTCATCTCCCGGACTTCTTTTCACTATAGCTACCCTGAACTTAGTTCTTGTATCTTTACTCTCCTCTAAACTTGCTCCATTAGAGACCTAATTCTTTATCAAGTTGTTTAAACCCATTTTACTGTGAGGATATAGTAGTGGCTAACAGCATGGTATCTAGGGCTGGACTGCCTGTGTTAAAATCCCAGTTGTGCCACTTACCAACTAGGCAATCTTGGAAAACATTACTTTACCCTCTTAGTCTTATTTTCCTCCTCTATAAAATGAGGATAGTATTATTAGTACCTGTCTCATAAGTTTGTTATGAGGATTAAATTAAATGAGCCACTACATACAAAAAGCTTAGAAAAGCACCTGATGTATAGGGGATTTTACATTTTTGCTTAACAATGCACACAGGTCAAATGTCAGGATTTATACACCAGAGGAACTCATTCCTGAATTTCATATAAATATATCCCACTGCCTAGTCAACATTTCTTTAAGATGTTTAAAGGCAGCTCAGACTTTGCAGACTCAGTTAATGGCAAAACCATCCTCCGACTTCACAGGCCACACATCATGGAGTTACCCTGGACCTCTCCCATCTTTTCACACCACACATATCATTCGCCACCAAATCATCTAGTCTCAATCTTCCTATTTCTCACTATTTAGTCTGCTGTCTCCCAGTTCCCAGCTATAATCATTGCACACCTGTGTTATTATCACTGCCTTAAGAAGGATTCCCTAATGCCAGGACTGTGCCCCTATAGTGCATCATCAACACTGCAGCCAGAAAAGTCCCCTTCAAAGATAAGATGCCTCGGGCTTCCCTGGTGGCACAGTGGTTGAGAGTCTGCCTGCCGATGCAGGGGACGCGGGTTCGTGCCCCGGTCCGGGAGGATCCCACGTGCCGCAGAGCTGCTGGGCCCGTGAGCCATGGCCGCTGAGCCTGCGCGTCCGGAGCCTGCGCTCCGCAAGGGGAGAGGCCACAACAGTGAGAGGCCCGCGTACCGCAAAAAAAAAAAAAAGATAAGATACATCATGGTACTGCTCTACCCAGGTCCATCCAATGCCTTCTGGTCTCACTCAGAGGAAAAAGCAAAGTCCTTACCCTGCCCATGAGGTCCACTGTCTATCAGAGCTCATTTCCTGCACTCCTTTCCCACTCTCTCTCTCAGCTTCTGTAGCACTGATCTTGCTGGGTTTTGATGATGTACGTCAAATAGCTCCCACCTTTTCACCCTTAAATGTGTAGTTGACTTCACAATGCTGTTCTTGAGATATTTGCATGGTTGCTCCCACATTTTTCTCACGTCTTTCCAAATGTCATTTTATTGGGAAGACCTTCACTTAACCATGTTTTTAAATTCTGCAAAATACCATTTCCCCTTTGCCCTCCAACACAGAAACTTCCTATCACTCTTCTCAGCTTATTTTTAGTATAGCATTTCTCATTTTCTATAAATTGATTTAGCTATAATTTAAATATGATTTATATGTTATATAATTTCTTTACTTTTATTCTTTTCACAAAAATGTAAGCACCAACATGGTTAGTAATTTTTAATGATATGTTTCACAAATTTATACACTACCCAAAGAGAGTCCTTGGCACAAAGTAATGTACAGATTGTTTTCAATAATATTTTTGAGTAAATTAATCCATGAATCTGTAGGGCGCGGTCAGCTAACTGCTACGCGGCAGGAAGCTGAAATAAGCTGAGTCATCCTTCCTGTGGCCACTGCGCTTGCGCTAAGTATACTAATGAGGTTTTAAAGTAGCGACCTATCCGATGCTGGCTCACAAATCGCACCATCGGCGAAAGCCAATCACAGAGCGACACATGTTCTTAATCCCTATATAAGCAGACTGCTATAGGATTGCGGTGTCTTCCTTCCATCTTTTCTTTAACCAAGCTGTGCTCCAATAAAGTGTGATAAGAGAAGAATCTTGCGTGTGGCGACTCGTCATTCTGCTGGTCGGAGGCGGCTCGCCGCAAGTGGTGCCGAAACCCGGGAACTTCGCGCCCTGCATGGAGGACCGATTCAGAACTCGACACACGGAGTGAACCGTCGGTGAGTAGTCCAGTCAGGTATGTTTTCAAGATAGCGCATCAGAGAATGAACAAACAGGGACTACGGTAGACAGGCCTGAAATTATGAAAAGAGAAAAAAGAAAACAAAAGGAAAAGCAAGAAACGGTGCCAGGATTATATCCAATCCTAGATGAGTTTAAGGAATTATATTTGTTTCAAGATGAATTAAATCCTAGAGAGGAGGAAGATTTAGAAGGAGCGGCCGCGGCATATGAACAAGAGCGGTATGGGCATTGGTACATGCCGCCACTCGCTAGCCAAAGATTGTTTCTTTTCTATTCCTTTGAATAGTCGAGATAAAGCCCCTTGTATGGAGTTGCTTGAACAGGCCTTAGGCGTTTTGATTAAATATTTAGGGAATGGGGGATTGTTTCTTGCTCCCGAGGGAATACAGAAGGGAGATGTGTCATATTACAGGCTTGCCCTATAATCCACAAGGCCATGGCCGACGAAAAGCCCAAGGAAGGAGTCAAGACTGAGAACAACGATCATATTAATTTGAAGGTGGCGGGGCAGGATGGTTCTGTGGTGATGATAAAGAAACCTCTGCTGAACGCCATGTGGCAACAAACCATAAAAATTATGGCAAAGTGATGTGGAAAGATGTGTTGTCCAATCAATGGAAGGGCCCGGATCGTGTTATTACTCGATCCAGGGGATCTCTTTGTGTCTCCCCACAGGATCAAGATCCGATCTGGGTGCCATCAAGACTGACGAGAATTATTGAAGAAAACTTCAGAGAAGATGCTGAGCTGGATGTTCCTGATGATTCTTAATCGAAGTCTTTGTATTAGTTGGAATTCCACAAAGGATTATTCAGATTGTGCAACTGAGTGCTGCCGGGCTGGAGCCCGTTGCCTTTGGAGATTTTGCCTCTTGGCTCTCTTCTGCCTTTTCCTTCTTTGGGGAGTGGGTGGGGGTAGGAATCTTTGGAGTCTGCTGTGTATTTGGGATTATGCTGTGTCTCTGGTTGGTCTGTCGTGTGCACATCAGGGCACATCGAGATAAGGTCCTACTCACTCAAGCACTTCTGGCTATTAATGAAGGAGATTCTCCCGCAGCCTGGCTCTCCGCCCTGAATAATTCGAAATGATTGCCCTTGCACAGAGAGGCCTTGTTGCCATTGCACCTCTACAGGGAGTCATCCATTGTCCTGATTGCCCTTGCACAGAGAGGCCTTGTTGCCATTGCACCTCTATAGGGAGTCATCCATTGTCCTGATTGCCCTTGCACAGAGAGGCCTTGTCGCCATCGCACCTCTATAGGGAATCAGCCATTATTCTGAGGCAGCCCTTGCACCCTGCGGCCCTTGTTGGCATTGCACGCAGGAGGGTGCCTCAGACATGCCAACAGAAAACTGCCCTCGTACGGGCTATGTTCTGCTTGGTGTTCTAATAAATAAAAAAGGGGGAGATGTAGGGCGCGGTCAGCTAACTGCTACGCGGCAGGAAGCTGAAATAAGCTGAGTCATCCTTCCTGTGGCCACTGCGCTTGCGCTAAGTATACTAATGAGGTTTTAAAGTAGCGACCTATCCGATGCTGGCTCACAAATCGCACCATCGGCGAAAGCCAATCACAGAGCGACACATGTTCTTAATCCCTATATAAGCAGACTGCTATAGGATTGCGGTGTCTTCCTTCCATCTTTTCTTTAACCAAGCTGTGCTCCAATAAAGTGTGATACGAGAAGAATCTTGCGTGTGGCGACTCGTTATTCTGCTGGTCGGAAACGGCTCGCCGCATGAATCTATAGTATAATTTACCTCCCCTCCCTACCAAGCACTGGATGCTTTATTTAAACTAGGGAGAAAATCATTAAGGAAAAAAATAAAGAGGATAAGTGAATTAATTTTTGTCTGCATGTCACCCACTCTACAGAGGTATCTGAAATATAAAAAAGAATTTTAAAATGATATTAAAATACATTTAAAATATAATATCATTTTTCTCTATTCTCCCTATTTAATAATAATTTTTAAAATAATTTTTATATGTAGACATAGGTGCAAATATTTGCTCTTTTTAAATAGTAGCTTATTGTTTTTTAGCAGACTCTGGGACCCATAAGTTTGTGATTAAATAGCAGGTGTAGGGGCTTCCCTGGTGGCACAGTGGTTGAGAGTCCGCCTGCCGATGCAGGGGGCACGGGTTCGTGCCCCGGTCTGGGAAGATCCCACATGCTGCGGAGTGGCTGGGCCCATGAGCCATGGCCACTGAGCCTGCGCTCCGCAAAGGGAGAAGTCACAACAGTGAGAGGCCCGCGTACCGCCAAAAAAAAAAAAAAAAAAAAACACAAACAAACAAAAATAGCAGGCGTAGTTATGAAGTCAAAAGTGAATTAGCCCATTTTTAGTGCAAAAATATACAGCAGTTTCTCCCATTTACTTAATACTGGTTTTAGTTTATGTGGCAACGAGGCCTCACTGAGTCTCAAAGTTCTATGCCCTCCTTGCCTCGAATTGGTCCTGGGAAATTCAGTACAATGTTGTTAGAAAATATATAAAGGAACAACTAAACGCAATGATATACAATACAACAAGCTGTTTTACTCTAAAATCATTACACAAGCTTGTATCAAAGCATATGTACTTAATCACCATTCCAGAGGAAGGAAAAGTAGTAGCTAGAAAGATGTTTGGGGCTTCCCTGGTGGCGCAGTGGTTGAGAGTCCACCTGCCGATGCAGGGGACACGGGTTCGTGCCCCGGTCCGGGAAGATCCCACATACCGCGGAGCGGCTGGGCCCGTGAGCCATGGCCACTGAGCCTGCGCGTCCAGAGCCTGTGCTCCGCAACGGGAGAGGCCACAACAGTGAGAGGCTCGCGTACCGCAAAAAAAAAAAAAAAAAAAAAGATGTTTGAGGGCTTCCCTTGTGGCGCAGTGGTTGAGAATCAGCCTGCCAATGCAGCGGACACGGGTTTGAGCCCTGGTCCGTGAAGATCCCACATGCCAGGGAGCAACTAAGCCTGTGTGCCACAACTACTGAGACTGCGCTCTAGAGCCCGTGAGCCACAACTACTGAAGCCTGCTCACCTAGAGCCCCTGCTCTGCAACAAGAGAAGCCACTGCAATGAGAAGCCCGTGCACCACAATGAAGAGTAATGGCCCCTGCTCGCTGCAACTAGAGAAAGCCCACGTGCAGCAACGAAGACCCAACACAGCCCAAAATAAATAAATAAATACATTTATATATATATATATAAAAAAGATATTTGGACTAAATTAGAGTAGTATAGGATTACCTGCCAAATGGAAAGAAAGGTTATTTGTCCGAAGCTTGAAGTATAGAAGAGGGTTCACCCCGTGCAGAGGTAGCCCAAATTAAAAGATGTGCTATTCTGCTCTGCTTTACAAAGACAAGTTGTGGTGTTCCAAAATGTCAGATAAAATCATGTTCAAATATGAACTCAAAATACATTTCAATGCTAAATATAAATATATATTTTAATTATCAGCCACTCTGGGTTTATAACACTATAGCTCCCCTTAACTCAAATAGATAATTAGGTATTGGCTACATTAAAAGAATCATTGCCAAGGGATATTTGATATTAAACCAGGGAATCAGAAACTGGAATCTACTTGTGTCTCCTTAATAGGCTCAATAATTATCCTTGAAAAGTGATTTTACTATTCTCTGCTCTGTCCTGGTGTTTTTTATAAAATTGCCAAGTTCAGTTGTATTATGAACGTGATTTAAAAGAATACTGAGAAAATTAACAAATTAGTACTTTTCAAGAGCTTTAAAATTTGATTAAAGTTTCTATCTTCAACAAAAAATGAAACCTCTTACTGTGCATGATTCACTCATTTGCATCTAAAGACCTTTGATTAGAATAATTTTTCAAATATAATCAATTAGTAACAGGCCATTTGTTTACTAAATGTTATAGAAGAGACCCAGCTGTCTTTATCTGCTTCATTTGACTATTCTGAATTTACAATTTCCTCATGACATTTCACTATTTAAACACGTTTAACTAAACATGAAGATCTTTTGGGATTGGATATTTTAAGGTTATCTTCCATATACTGTCAAAGAAGAAACACGTTTCAATCCGAGAAAATGATTAGCTTTTCCACGTAAGTTGACTCCACTTTTAATACACCCTCGAAATATATCTCATCACTTACTCAATTTATTAGGATGTAGAAGGGGCCTTTTTTAAATCAACTTTAAAATTATGTTCTGCTGACTTGCAAACGGCAGGTCAATGCTAACTGAGAGAAGCCTTAAAAACTCTTGACACATTTTATCCCTGCACAAGACTGCGTGCTCTCTGTGTTCTAATCCTTGGCTTTCCAATATTGCCTTTACGAGGTTAAGAAGATGAATGTTCCTTGCTTTTAATCCTCACCATGATTTATGAGCCTCTTGGTATCCTTTCCCCAGAGCAGCTACAACTGTGTGGTTGTTCTGCCTGCTGCTTAAATTACAGACATCTGCAAAGTAAATTATAGATTGTTGTCCCATAGACCATAACAAAGCATTCGCTTCATCTCTCCTGCAGGATTTTTTTTTTTTTATTAGAACAAAGACCGTGTGCATTTTTACTTGCTTGTGTACTGAAGAATTTTAAGCTAAACTGAATGATAGCACAATGGCCTGAATTATGACCTGTCACATAACATCAAAGCAGCATGACATATAAACAGGACTACTTTAAAGCTAGAAAAAAAAACCCTCCCATTTACTTATCTTTCTTCTTTATTTAAGGAATACCACCTTTAGGTTCTCAGAAGGAAGGTAACCTTTAAAATTAGCTAAAAATATGTGCTATGGAATAAAGATGCAGGTAAGTGACCTGAGTCTCCAAGCAAGCAAGATTTTAAGAGCATCTTGTGGATATTTAAAACTAAATATTGAGCAAATAAAGAGAAAATTACATGAAGGAGAACCCATGGAAGATTGGGGCATCTTTTTTTAGATTTTTTTTTCTTGTACTGATATTACTGGTAGTAAACCTGTTTTAATATCCTGGAAGCATGTCACAATCATGAGTAACTGGAACAATTCTTTCTTCTGAATAAAAAGCCTAGCAGAGTCTAAGTTGAAATAGTCAACTCGCTCTGTATTTTCCTTTCTTTTCTGTGCTTATTATTCTGTGTCGATGATGAATCATAATTCCCAATGACAAGTCCATTGCGCAATCCTAACAGGCATGTTTCAAATGACTAACCTTTGACAATTACCCCAAATTAGAAATATTCCAGCATTTATTTTCTTCAGATGTGCTAATTGCAACCCAAACAATAACCCATCAGGGGAAAACTACACTAACAAAAAAAAATTTTTAATGATTTTTAATAATGCCTTACAAAGTATATTTCTTTCTTAAACAGATGGCTCTGCAGTTCATTTTTGAACCCTACTGTCAACTCAGCAGGATGTTGTGAGCACTAAAACCAGATATGGTCTAATCCAGTCCTAGCTGAGCCGATCTATTGCTCCCTCTGTGTCCATCAGATTGTGTTTCACCTCGTCACGGCTGAGAAGCGATATTCTCTCGGTGTCAGGACCTGATATTCATACCTAC